AAACAAAATAAATAAAAACAAAAAACAAAATAAATAAAAACAAAAAACAAAATAAATAAAAACAAAAAACAAAAAAAATAAAATCAAAAAACAAAAACCAAATAAAAAAAAAAATTTTAAATAATCGTTATTAGAAAAACGTTTTCAAAATTAATAATAAAAAAAAAATTAATAATAAAAAAAAAATTAATAATAAAAAAAAAAATTAATAATAAAAAAAAAATTAATAATAAAAAAAAGTTAATAATAAAAAAAAATTAATATTTACAAAAATGATCAAATATATTTTTTATCGTTTAAAAATAATGATATAAATCTTATATATAAAATTAACATTGTAAAAATGTTAGTTACCGTACTCCTCCGAAACGGCTTTACCGATTTTTACCAAATTTTATATGCGTATTCAGTAGGTCTGAGAATCGGCTACTATCTATTTTTCATACCGCTAAAGTGATTAGGGAGTCCCTACCCAGTAAAAATATCCTTAGTGCTTAACAAAAAATTTTTTATTTTTTTGACATAAATTTTGTTTATATTTTTGAAAAAGAAAAATTTTTTCTTAATATTTTATGTAACTACGCCAACAAGTACATCGAGCATTTACATCGACTTCGTTCTTCGTCTTCGGCTTGCATGGCAGATGGAAAATGTACTAAAAATTTTTCTAAAGATTTCACTAATGATACTATAACAAATACCGACGGATATCCAATATATCGTCGAAGAAATCCCGATAATGGGGGACAATGGCGGGTGGTAACGTATTCGCCTCTGCTAAGCAAGACATACAATGCTTATATTAATGTTGAGTTTTGCAGTTCTGTGAAGAGCATCAAATATATAAGTATGTCCATAAAGGCGGTGGTATGGCTGTGTTTAGAGTAGAAAATACTAATGTAAATGCTCCTCCAATGAACAAAAACGGTGAAATTACGCTCTACCAAATTGGTCGGTACATCACCTCCAATGAAGCTGCTTGGCGTATCTTCGGCTTTCTAATTCATGAACGGGATCCAGCAGCTGTTCAGGTAGCCGTCCATCTTGAAAATGGTCAGCGTGTATTTTTCACGAACGAGACAGTGATTGATCGTGGTACAAATCCACCTAAATCTACACTCACTGGATTTTTTTGAATTGTGTAATAGTACGGATGATTTTGGTGCCTTTGCAAGAACATTACTCTATTCACAAGTACCACGCTATTTCACATGGGCTCAAACAAAAAAATGGATGCCCCGCAAGCAAGTTTCACCAGTTGATGCATGTCTCAATTTATTTAAATCGAACGCTTATTTACAGTTAATCCAAGACACACTGAGTGCTTTTATCTTCGACTGTTGTTGGTTAATGTTACTGGCCCATTATCATTATTATTATTATTTACAGTCAATCCAAGACAATTTAAATTTGAAGATACAACAGTTGTTGCCAGGGAACTTGGTATCATACAAATCTATTGATTTTAAATTAATAATTTAATAAATAAACTATAATAACTTAAAAATAATATTGTTTGGCGTTTGTTATTTTTATTTTCCTTTCGCGTTCATAGCGCTCCATGCCTATTTCATGCATATACCACATACTTACACACTTATAATAAGTAAGTTGTTACTTTTTGTCTACACTAGAATTTATCTAGAAACTAGAAATAATTTATAAGGCAAAACAACGTTTGTCGGGTTATCTAGTTTTATTATAAAAAAACTTATAAGAAACAAAAAATTTTAAATACTAAACTATAAAGATTACAATGCCTTACTAAGCAGCTCGTTGTTTAATATGTAATGTTTTTAAGTATTCAATTTTTTAAAATTAAAGAAAAATTATATATTTTGAAAATTTAAGAAAAATAACATATTTATGTTATTTTTTATTTTTTACTAAGCAAATTTATTTTCTTTTACTTAATATTACTATTAATATGGTTAACCAAAAATATACTATTGTTAAGCAAAATATTTGATTTTATAGGTGTTCAATTTTGCACCTTAAATGTATAAATAATATATAATAATTTTAATTAATTTTTTAATTTAGATTAAATTTCATTACTATTTTTATTTTTTTTAAATTTTATTGCCAATTCTTCTTGCTCATTTCATAATTTTTCTTTGTTAATAAATATATTTTATTTTATTTTTCTATCCATGTGCATAACTATGGTTAATTCGACAATAAGTGTCTAATTTTATGTGTTTTTGTACATATGATAAAAAATGTTAAAAAATTTTGTGTCAAAAAAATATAAAAGAATTATAAACAATATAACAAAAATATAAAAAATACAACAAAAATAGAAATCAAAACTATATTATAACAAAATAAAACAAAAACTTAGAATATATATCATATATGTAAAAAAACATAATAAAATAAAAATATAAATAAAATAAATATACATAAAAAAAAAGTATTAAAAATAAAAAAAAAAAAATTTATATAAAAAACAAACAATATAATACAAAACGTTGAATAAAATAAAAACAATTAAAAATTAATAATAAAAAAAAAACAATCAAAAATTAATAAAAAACACAATTAAAAATTAATATAAAACACAATTAAAAATTAATAAAAAAAAAAACAATTAAAAATTAATAAAAACAATTAAAAATTAATAAAAAACAATTAAAAATTAAAAAAAAAATAATAATAAAAAAAATAAAAAAAAAATAATAATAAAAAAAATAAAATAAAAATAGGAAAAAAGTTAAATAAAATAAAAAATAGAATAAAACAAAAAATGAAATAAAATAAAACAAAAACAGTATAACAAACAAAATAAAACAAGTTAAACAAAAAAAATTTAAAGAATAAACTAAAAAAAAAAATTTTAAATAAATGAAAAATTGAATAACAAAAAATAAAAAGAATTAAAACAAAAAATAAAAAGAATTAAAACAAAAAATTACATAAAGATAAAAAAATACAGAAAAAAAGTGAATAATATTAAATTTACTACATTTGTTGTATATTAAACGTATTAACTACATATAGTAATATATTTCAAGACTAGATCCGAACTCGTACTTTAATTTATCGTTAACTTAAAAACGTATTTCGATATTAGATTAAAAATTAAAATAGGCAATTAAATTAAGATTTATTTCCAATTATCGTATATTTGGTCACATATGTACAAAAACTTATGTCGAATTATAGCAGAGAAATACTGCTATAGTATATTATATATATTTAAGAAAAAAACTTTAGAAACTATAAATTATGTTATGTTTTTATAAATAAAATTAAGAGTTTACAATATCGAGTAACCGAAAATAATTTAAAATTATAAGAAAATGAAATAAAAATAATTATTGAAAGGCAATATTAAAATATGAAAAGGCAATATTATAAAAAATAAGATAATATGTTATTATTAATAATAAATAAATCATAACTATTAAATATATATTAATTAAATTATAATAATAAATAATCCATTTATAAATATTAAATAAGTTACATAATTTATTACATAACATTAAAAAAACAATTTGTGTCATACAAACGTATACCCAATATGGTCTCGCATTTTAAAAAACAATGCTTTTCGCGGATAAATAAGGGGGGCCGAGAATATGCTTTATCGAAGAAGTAACAAATAATATCTTGAAAATATAATAATAATAAATAAAAAATAAAATGAAGTTAACATAATAATTATGTGGGTTTTGGTATTCAACAAAATAGAAATATTTTTCCAGACAAGACTTGCAAAAATACATAGAACATTTACTAAGTAATGATACAATGAAAAAACTAACGAATATTCGTACTTCTTTAAATAGTATCTTAGTTCTTGAAAAGTATTTGAAAATATATTAAAAAACATAATAAAACAAATAAGCTTATAATAATAATTATATCTGAACAAAATTTGAAGTTAATTTCCATATAAGAAATTAAACTTGTTATTGTAGTCATTTTCCCGTCGATGAATATATATTTTACAGATGTTGCTTCTTGCAGATTCACTAGTAGTGGAACTATCTATTAGTTAATCTGGTAATTAGTACCATCAGCATCAGCATCAAACTTTTCATTAAAGAATTATTTAAATTGTTTTTGATTTCTTCAGCGTCACCTTAAGACGTTTGCCACCTATCTGAAAGCAGTCCATAACTATTATAGCCAATTGCGCTGAAATTGGATTATCGTAGGACACAAAACCAAAACATTTAGACATATTGGTTGATTTATCAATAAAAATTTTAGCTGAAATAATATTGCCAAACGGTATGAACATTAATGCTAAATCCATATCGTTAATTACTTCTGGTAAGTAATATACGAATAGATTACAGCCCTCTGGACCTGTTGTAAATAAGATATGAACAAATATTATTTTTTTATAGATATTTTTCTAATTCTTAAATAAATTTATTGAATAAATAACAGATTACACGACGTGTCTTATGGTTGATTTTTCAGTCTTACCAATTTACTAACTTATTTAACTCCTTATTCGAATTCGTCAATATCCCACCCTTACTATTCAATAGATTCCCGATCTCAGTAAATTTTGGGTAAAAAAAACATAAGTTTTTTAAACTTAAAAATAATTAATATAAGGAGAACTTAGAAAAATTTTTATAGATAAATAATAATGATTTTTAGCACTTTTATCTCTTACTTACCCCCAACATCTTTACCCGCTACCGCAGCCGCTATTTGTGCAGTACGTAATGATATATTATTTAGAGGTGTTTGCTTGAATTTAGCTTCAAACAGTATGTCGACGTTTGATTGTATATTAGAATTCAAATAATTGGAATTGTTACCTGGAATATTGAAACAGAGAAATATAAATAAATGAAATATTTTGGTAATTTTATACGTATCATATTACTTCAATGATTTAAAAATTGAATCAATGATCCAAAAATCGAAACAATGATCCAAAAACCGAAACAATGATCCAAAAATCGAATCAATGATTCAAAAATCGAAACAATGATCCAAAAATCGAATCAATGATCCAAAAATATAATCAATGATCCATAAATCGAATCAATGATCCAAAAATATAATCAATGATCCAACCGAAACATTTCAAAATAGAAAAAAAATATATATATACTTCTTCTTCTTATTGGCATTTTACAATTGTATTAACAAGATATCAACCTCCCTCAGTATCTGGCAAAAAGAAAGGTGCTAAGAATCGCCGGAGGTAAAACGAAAAAACAAAATTGCAATGTAGTATGTGAGAAGCCTCTATGAAGCAGGTAAATTGGCCAACACCATCAGAGAAATGAAAAGGCTCAACATTGATATCTTAGGTGTGAGCGAAATATTCTGGCCAAGTTCAGGAAAATTTCAATCTGATGACAAAATCATATATTTCATAGGCAACGACACTCATGACTCGTGCACAATGAACGTACATTTGTGTTCACACATCTGGGAATTATCTTTAAAACAAATGTTGAGGCTTCTAAAGATAAAACTAGTTGTACAAAAAGTACCGATATGAACTTAGAAATCTCTAGGTAGTAAAAATATATAAAACAAAATTTTGATTATATTGATCGGTTTTGTATATTTTATACACTAACTTAACCGATCTATTTATTTGTTTTGTTCATGTAATCATATATATGTTTTGCATATGCAATCATAGAGCAGTTGATAATATACGTATATAGTTAAAAATTATATAAAATTTAATTGGTACTAGGGAAATATGGATATGATAATATGTATTAAAATTTGACTTACATTGTGAAGCATTTATGGAGCACTCAGGATGAGCATTTATGATTTGTGAAACATAAGGATTTGATGCTAATTGAGTTAAAACTATATTAGATAATGGTGAAATCTTGGCTAACTTTTGTACATTTGTCAACGAGTGAAAAGCAGCACCATCATCTAACATAGCATTATAAGTTGCAGTAGTATCATTAGTTCCAAAAGCTTTATTAGCTGCTGTAGCAGAAAAAGGTCCAAAAGCATTATTAGCAGTATTAACACCATTAATTCTATGAGGTGTATTAGTTTCAGCAACATTTTTAATTCCAAACGGATTATTAGCTGCAATAGAAAGATTAGATTCAAAAGCTTTATAAGCTGCGGTAGCAACATCAGCTCTAAAAGCTACATTAGCTGCAATAGCACCATTAGATTCAAAATTTGCATTTGCTCCAATAGCATCAAAAGACCCAAAACCCTTATTAGTTGCAATGATACCACTAGCTCCATTAGTTAAAAGGCCACCATTAGTTGCATTAGCACCATTATTTCTAATATCATTATTAGCTCTAAAACGTTTATTAGTTGCAATAGCATCATTACATCGAAAACCTTTTTTAGCTGCAATAGCGCCATTAGATCCAAAATTTGTATTAACTCCCATAGTACCATTAGTTGTAATAACATTATTTGTTGCAATGCCACCATTAGTTGCAATAGAATCATAAGCTCCAAAACATCTATTACCTACACCAATAGCACCATAGGTTGTAATGAAACCATTGGTTGGAATGGCACCATTACTTGCAATATATTCATTTGCTCCAAAACATCTATTATCTGCAATAGGACTGTAAGTTGGAATGAAACCGTTAGTTTTAATGGCATCATTAGTTGCGATAGAACCATTAGTTGCAAATGTACTATTAGTTCCAATAGCATTATTAGTTTTAAAACGTTTATTCGATGCAATAGCATCATTACATCCAAAACCTTTATTAGCTGCAATATCACCAATAGATCCAAAATTAGTATTAACTCCAATAGTACCATTAGTGGGAATGCCACCATTAGTTACAATGCCACCATTAGTTACAATGCCACCATTAGTTACAATGGCACCACTAGTTGCAATAGCACCACTAGTTGCAATAGCACCACTAACTCCAAGCTCTTTAAAAGCTGTATTAGCACTATTAGTTGTTGTGACATCATTAGTTGCAGCATTAACATCTGTTGTTACAGTTACATAATTATATTCTTAAAATAAAATTATTATATAAAATAAATAATTATATTAAATAAATTATTATATAAAATATTATATAAAATTATTATATAAAAATTATTATATAAAAATTATTATATAAAATTATTATATAAAAATATTATATAAAAATTATTATATAAAATTATTATATAAAAATTATTATATAAAAATTATTAACTAAAAATTTTTTACATATAAAAATTTTTATATAGAAAAAAAAAAAAAAACATTTATTTAAAAAAACTTTCTTATTAGTTGTCATATCCATACAATATTAGAACATAAAAATATTCATATATAGAACTAATTTTATATTAAAATTATTATCATTATTATTAATATAAAATGGAACATAAAATAGAAGCATTTGAAAATTATGTATAAAGACATTATTTGTATACGAAAAATATTAATGTAATATAATCATTATAATCAATTTTTTTTTTTATTTTGATTAATTGAATTTTTATAAATATAAATATAAATATAAAATAAATAAATATAAATATGAAAAATAAATTATATATGTATAAATAATTTCATATATGAATATTATATTTTAATATGTAAATATATATAAAATATTTTATGTATTAAGTGTATATAAATATATTTATATTTAAATATATATATAATATATATATTTAAATATATATATAAATAATATACAAATATATTTATATTTAAATATATATTAAAAATATATACAAATATATTTATTACTTAAATATATATATAAATATATTTATATTAAATATATATATAAAATATATTTATATTTAATATATATATAAATATATTTATATTTAAATATATATATAATATATTTATATTTAATATATATATAAATATATTTATATTTAAATATATATATAAATATTTATATTTAAATATATATATAAATATATTTATATTTAAATATATATATAAATATATTTATATTTAAATATATATATAAATATATTATATTTAAATATATATATAGATATATTTTATATTTAAATATATATATAAATATATATTTAATAATAATATATATATAAATATATTTATATTAAATATATATAATATATTTATATTTAATATATATATAAAATATATTAATATATTTAAATTATATTTATATTTAAATATATATAATATATTTAAATATATTTATATTTAAATATATATATAAATATATTTATAATTTATATATATATGAATGCTTAATTATATATATATGAATGAACGTTAATTGAAATAGGCATGTTTTTATTGTTATAATTATATATTCACAAAAATATACACATGTTAATAAATGATATTCACAAGTATATATATATATTACAATATTCCTAGAGGTATATAATTTTATATAAATAAAATGTGCATAAATACCTTGTGAAAATTGATTTCCTAGAGTTGGACATTTTGGTGGTGGTAATTTTGCTTTGACGTCTGCATGTTGGCTTGTAAATATTGATGAGTCGGGCAATAAAGGCTTTCGTGTCGATGTGTTATTAACATCGCCGATTCTGTTCATTATCAAACTGAAGAGATTCGCCTTATACTTATGCAGTTTCTTTTGCTGTTTCTCCAACAAAGTATCTGCAAATTTAATGATCATAGGCGTAGGACAACCTTTCATGGTTCTCCCTTCAGTAAATATCTAAAATTTTTAAAAATATTTATAAATATATTATTTTCAATGTTAACACATATGAAAATTCAAACAATAAAAAGAAAACCCATCTTTACAAATAAATTATTTTATGAAGAGTTTAAGTTTTAGAATTATTAAAGCTTTCAAAAATGTAGGAAGAAAATCGTTACCCTATTTAATGCATTCACAGCTGTCTCAGAAGTAGTGAACGTCACGAAAGCACAACATTTACTTCTACCGTTCTCATCAACCAGTACTGTGCAATTCTCGATCGGACCATAAATTTTAAAGAATTTATGTAACTCATAATCCGTAATTGCCCTATTCAGCTTACCCACAAAGAGCTTGCGTTCTGAAAATATATTACAAAAAATTATTCAGTAAATAAATAATTGTGTATTTTAAAATTTATAGTCTATCTAAAAATCAAAGATTTAACATCTATTAAGAGCTAGTAAGACATTTATATGTAAAAGTTTTAAAAAATTTTCAAGCACTTTTAATCACTTAAAAACCAAAACAATACAATTTTTTAAAATTTAGGCTGCGATCTAAAGCAATTTTAACTTCAGTATTTTAAAACACAGTTAAACTAAACTTTAATATCAATTATTACAAATCTTTTATCTAAATATCTTACTTCTAACACTTTCAGAATTAGATTCCATTTTCCCAACTTAACTCGCTTAACTCCTTTGCGAAACTGAAATCCAACAGCTTCTAATCTTCACAATTCACAAATATTTGATCTACGACTCATTGTCGCCACTATTTTTTTCTTCCTATGAAATCGTCCAGTTCGCAGAATTACACAAAAAAATTGAATACTGAATACGCGCCATATGAAAAATGGGATACGATAGTAGTGTTCGCTTTTGGTGAGTAGGATATTTCAATTTTCTCCTCGGTGCGGCGAATTCACAATTGATCATTGCCATATTGAAAAAAAATGCTCAGCATGCTTAAAAGTTTTCTACATACAAAAATTATGAGTGATATGATTAATTATTCAATTATAGATATTATTGCTGTATATAGTGATATATACTATACTGATATATATTAAATATAAATTTAAATAAATTTTACAATTTATTCATCATTAAATACAAATGAAAGATTGCTCTCCCTAAAACGAGTATTAGACATCGTATTTGGTGCTATAACTTAGTGGAATGTTACTCGCTACTACACATCATGCACTGCCGATAATAGATCTGTTTCACGAACTACTCGTGTAACAGACTTTTCTCATATATTTTATTTCAAGTAAAATTTGTGTTGATATGTGAATCAGCTGTTTTGGTTTCAATTTAAATTTTTGTGTTGCTTATTTGCGCGGCACTGGTGTTCTCAGTAGAGTTTACACAACGTTGTTAAATAAAAATCTGTGTAAAGAGCGTAATTTGGCATTTTATTTGTGTTACACTCTTAGTTCAAACTTTACTTGAGTTTGACTAGCTCGTGGAATAGACCTATTATTTTGGCCAACCCTCAGCAAAAACAAAAAACACAACAAATATACTACAAAATAAGATCATGCGTGCATTTAAACGATGTTTTCGCTTTCATCTCTCAAAATAGAATGAAATTTGCATAAAAGTCCGATTGTATACGAAAAAACACGAGGAACTTGGAAGAAACTTCAAAATATTTTGATTTTCTTCCGTCTGCGCGTATTGCTATTACACATGAGACTTGAAACTCATTAAGTATGATGTCAAATACCCGCTTAACAAATAGAGATTCTTTTTCCACAATTCTTCCTTAAAGGTAAGGTTCTTTACATTTATCTCTATCTTAACTTTATAAATCGATGTTTCTATTCTATTCTGATTATAATTTCGGATATATGATTATTATATGTGTTGAAACTAGTGAACCTTAAAAATTGTTTTAAGCCTCTTAAAATCGTTTTTATAGTCGCGTAAACACACATAAACTGAATTTTGCTTAAAAGCACTTTTAACTTATTAAAAGCACTTTAAGATTACTTTAGTAAGAAACAGCGCTTTTAAGCATTGCATAAAATGTCCTAAAAACTAATTTTAAAAGTGATTTTAAGATTCGCGTAAATGTAGTGAATACCTTAATATATATATGCTGAATTGCTTTAAAACCGAACTATTTAGTTTTATAGGAATTGTATACAATCAATTTTAAAAAGGTTTAGAAAAGAACTTAAGATTAATTTGAACAAAATAACTGGAATATTCAGATATAGTTCAGTAAAGTGTTAAAATGATAAATGTCTCAACAACTATTTTGGATGCTATCCCAAAAAAGTTTACAACTGAAATTTTATATCAGCTGTTTTTTATATTGTTTTTTTGTTTTTGAATTTTATTTATATATTTCTTTATTTATAACAAAATAATAAAATATCATGTTATTGTTAGTTATAAAAATTTTGTAAAATATTTTATAGCAATAAGCATCCGCATCAGCTGTTATTTTATGAAATGCCAATAAAATGATCAAACCTGATTTTTTTCATACAAAAAATTTGTTTAAAATTGCATCGAGTTATAGAGAATGTTTGAATATTTCTATTATTAATAAACTATAAATACTCAAAATGTAATTTAAGGTTGCTAATGGGTTTCTTTACAGTTCATTATGGATTAATATATCACCTCCATAAACTACAATTATCTGCTAAATCGGAATGCAGATTATGCCTCAAAGATGATGAAACTATGCATATTCTTTATGACTGTCCAGCTTTAATAACGCTCAGAATTTGTGGAACCAGAACAGATTAAGAACTCTTCTCTAGATTCTAGACTTTATTCACAAAGCTTAAAGGGGCTTTGTGTATTCAATAGTGAAACTGGTACAATAGGACTCTTTAGCTCTTTAACTCTAAATTTTTAATAATAATATAATAAACTGTAAATAAATTCAAGTTATAATTCTTAATTTTATAGAACAGATACGAATTCAATAGACAGAATTCAGTTATTTTGACTTATGTTCATTATCCATTAACACTTAAAATACTACAGATAAAAAATCAATTTACCCTATAAACGTTTCTATTAGAAAATTTTAACCATCAAGAGTGATTATTTTGTGAATATTTGCTATATTTAAGTCTAAAATTTTATTATAAAACCGATTTTAAAATCAATTTTAAGAGCGTTTTCGCACAGAGATGTAAATTCTTTTAAGGTTATTATCAGCTGATAGTTGAAACACAAGCCTTAATGACTTCTCTAATGTGTACGCAATGTAAAAGCCATGTTTTATACTAAAATTGGTGACATAATGGTTTGGAGGATGTTCACGAGAGCCTAAAATCAATTTTAAAAGCCTTAAGTAACATTAAAGGCGAATGCAAATGGCGTGAAAGTTTTGACTCTTTACTAAAAACAATTTTATAAGTTATTTTTAAGTGATTTATATGGTTTATTAAAACAGATAAACTATTGTAGTATATATTTTTTATTCTTAATTTTTTTTTGGCTAATAATATTTTTAGTTTAAAAGTTTAAAATTGTATATATATATATATATATATATATACAATATATATTGCATTTGCATGCTATTAAATTTTTTTATTTATTTAGACTCAGTCTACTTAAACTAATTAGCAATATTAATATGGCGGGAACTTAATGCATTCTTGCAACGAAAAGTATTTAAATTTGTGGCGAATTCAACATTCACAAATTTCTCCAAGCGAATAAGCATAAATTGAGAAAGAGAAGGAAAAAAATATGAGAGAAAAATAGTGTTTTTGTTTTGTTTTGTAATTCGAAAATCGGCGCCGTAAATCTGTCTGCAATCCTAAATTCCAGATAATACAACGGTTTTTCGTGTAGTGTTTTCTTGCTTTTTTTTTGTATGGAATTTTGAAATCATGTTATGACCCAGTAATCCTCATTGATTTTCAATTTTGGAAAAATGACTATTTTTAAGAAAAAATATGTTTATTATTTCATTGGAATTGCATTTTTATTATAATATTTTTTCATTTCTAAAATTAATAAAATAATAATTTAATTATTTCTTATTAATAAAAATGCTAAAGTGAAGAAAAAAAAACTTATAAATAAATTGATTTTTCTTTTGTTTTTATTATTACTATATAGTAGTTTATATTACTTGAGCCTTTTTACCAATTAGAAATTATAAAAAAAGTAAATTATAATTATTTTTTATTTATTATGTTCAGACTAGTTAAGTCAGTGCACTTGAGCACTTTTATTTTCTATTAACTGCGAGGTTTCTTCAAAACCCCTCTCTACGCCTTTTCTGGATTATTGTTAATCACTTTATCAGACTAAGCAATAATTGACCTCAGATCTGCATACCTCCCCGAGGACCCTGTAACCATTCTGAGATTTGAGAACGCAGTGTTGGTAAGCCTGTCAGTTTTCGTAAAAAAAATCAGGGCTCTATTCTTTATGTATTTTTTAATCGGATCAATCTTAAGGTCCCTAAGATATCATTTGTCTTAACGTACTATGGGTATGCTGGGGTTTACCACTGACGCATGCATTTGAGGCACTAATCCAATATTTTATGCGAGGACATTTATATTAATTCAAAAAGAAAAAAATTATATAAAAATTATTTAAAATAGTGCGCAAAAGTTGCCTCTAGTATAGAGTAGAAAAATGTAAAAAAATAAAAATTATCAGTTGATATCTTCCGTTTGCGCATCGCCTCAAAAGTTAGCAAAACTGATGAAATCGATCATTGTTCAAAAAAATTTTATAATTATGAGTATATGAGTAAAAAAATTTTTTTTCTCATAAAAATCAATTTCACTTTTCAATATAAACTCCTTCAAAGGCAATACAATCACTCCAACGCTTCTCTAATTCTCGATGCCGTAGTGTAGAAGGATTTGTCTTTTACCTCAAAATAGGCTTTAGTTGCAGCAATTACTTCTTCATTTGAGATGAATTTCGTACCGGCGAGCATTTTTTTAAGATCAGCGAATAGCCAGTAGTCGCTGAGGGCCAGATCTGGACTATACAAGTAGCAATTCGAAGTATAATTCGTGCAATTTTGCCATTATTTTTACTGAATTGTGACATGGTGCATTGTCTTGGTAAAATAAAATTTTTTTCTTCGCCATATGCGGTCGTTTTTTTACAATTACTGCTTTCAAAGGATCCAGTAATCCCGTGTAGTAGTTACTATTGATAGTTTTTCCCTTTTCGAGATATTCAATAAAGATTATACCATGAGCATCCCAAAACACTGAAGCCATAACCTTCCCAGGTGACTGTTGTGCCTTTGGACGCTTCGGACGTGGTTCACCGGCTGCTGTCCATTCAGATGATGATCGTTTTGATTGAGGAGTAAAGTGATGGATCCATGTTTCATTCATTGTCACATATCGACGCAAAAAGTGTGATTTTGTATGTGTAAACATGGCCAAACATTGCTCTAAGTCATCAACACGTTGTGGATTTTGATCGACTGTGAGTAAACCCACTTTGAAAAGAGCTTTCTCATGGTCAAATGTTCATGCATAATTGTAAACACACTGCCTGCTGATATCTTTACGGTCTCAGCTATCTCATGAATTTCAATTTACGATCAGATATAACCAATTTCTGGACTTTTTTGATGTTTTCTGGAGTAACCATCTCAATTGGACGACCACGCCGTTCACCATCATTAAACGTGGTGTCTCTACGACCACGTTTAAATTCAGCAAATCAATAACAAATGACTCTTTTCGATGGAGCAGGGTCCTGATATTACTTTTGAAGCCATTGCCGAGTTTGTACAGTATTTTTTTTCATCAAGAAACAATGATACATAAACAAACGAAAATGTTTTGAATCCATTGTTTTGAAAATAATAAAAGTATCTTCATTTTAATGGCTGTCATTTTTTTTCTGACTAATCATGATTGACTAGTCATGAAATTTTACACATAGTCTTTTGAAGGTTGGTACTTTATAAACGTCATATGGATTTGACAATGGCAGCGCCATCTGTATGTCAGTCACACGACTTATTGAGTGATGTAATACAATTGATTGCTCAATATTAACGCAAAATTGATAAACCGTTCAATATTTAAAAGTAACGGTAATTGCAAATCGTAACTGAAAATAAACCATAGTACTGTTTAAATTACCAGAAATATAATAACTATTAAACATCATTTATATTATAATATATACCAATCGCTGAAAATTTACTAAAAATATTCGAAATTGTTCACCCTACCCTACCAAACCAACCTTTCTAGTAGGGTGTGTTATTAATTTCTTTACATTTCATATCTAACCACGCAGCGGCCCATGCGAATGAGGTTAAGACCTTACTGATATTCTAATTTAATAAACTATAATCTGACTTTTGCGAAGAATTAGGGATGTTCAATCTTGATAAGGTTTTGCTCTGATTGATCCAAAAATCTTAACCAATAAAGCAAGTAGCTTCTTTTTTATGAAATGTGTTGTTCCTTAGACCTAACATATAATCTATATAAAAAAGTCTTGAAATCAGTAAAGTAAATTGCATTTACATTTCGTAAATGAACTATAAAGTTCATTTATAGAGCATTATGTTAAGCAGATGAAATTATTTTTATAGAGTTCAGTCCACAAATGAAACTAAAAATTGAAGCATTTAATTATTATGAGTGAAAGGTAGGCGGGTTTAGGAATCTGCTTAATATTCTTCGTAGTCCTCTTAAGGTTCTGTTGTATTTCCCTAGGGTTGTTGCATACGAGTAACAGAAAATCATTGTATATAAATTTAAGAAACATGAGACTTTTAGACGTACACACATATAAATTGTTTAAAAATAATAAAAAAAAATTTCGCCATTAAATTATATCAATTAATGACTTAATGGTTATGACTTGAGTTCATATAATTGTTGAAATTAACTAATTTAATTACAACAAATTCAAACTTAATTTGTTTCGGTAGTTAAACTAAAAAATTTGTTTGTTTTAATTTGTGATATATTTATTTATATGGAAGTACATATATCGATGTACATATCATGAAGTAGACTACATATATATAATATAATATACGTACATATAATACTCATTTTAAATGCATAATTATTTTAAACAATAAAATACGCGATATTACAACTAAAAAATTTACAAACTATAAATCTAATAATTATAAAGTCCTAAACTAATAAAATATTTTCTATAATAAAACATAATTTAATAACGAAATTTAATTAAAAATAATTAAGAAGTTTTATTTTTAAATTAAATCTCGAACTTGAGCATTCTTACTATTTACACTAAATTATTATATACAGTATCGATAGGTTGACACATTTTATTTAAATAATACTTCCAGGTCATCCTCATTCAGTGCGATAACCAACATGATTAAACCACCAGTGATAATGCCAAGTACAGTGATAAGTGCATCCTTAAGACTGGGTTTGCCATGTGCACTGCCCATAGCAGGTATCAGATCTGCAAAAGCGATGTACAGAAATGAACCAGCTGTACCCGCATAAATCCATTGAGTCATATTGGAATGCAAGTTTGCTATCAGCAAACCAATTGCCATGCCCACAAAACTCAATACTGAACTAACAATATTCAGACAGACTGCACGTCTTAGTGAGACACCAGTTTGCAGCAGCAATGCAAAATCGCCCAGCTCATGTGGCAGCTCATGACACAGCACTGCAAAAGCCGTTGCCATACCTGTCACTGGATCTGTGGCAAATGCTGCGCCAATTGCTAAACCGTCAGTCAAATTGTGTAAACCATCACCAATAACAACCATGAAGGCAACTGGCGTTAGTGGTTTGGATGGAGATTTCTCATCCTTCTTCATTTCATTTAACATCATATTAATTTCTTTTATTTCTTTACGTTCGGTAGTGGATTGTTCTGTTGTGGCAGTAGTTGAAGTCTCATTTTGGCCTTTTTGAGGTTTGGTTTGACTGTGACTATGTCCATGCCCACCATGGCTGTGTCCATGTCCTTCTGATTCTCCTTTCAGTATTGGCAAGATTGTTTCTATTATATACATAAATACTGCAGTTGCGAAAGCACAACCACATAGCAAAACTGCTGTAGTATCATGATGATGACCTTCTCCAGACTCATGTGCTGTGGCTGCCGCAGGTTCATGTTCCTGAACTAAGGCATGTGGCAGTAAGTGCATTAGTGCATCACCACTGAGTGTACCAATAGCAACAGCAATCAGAAATTTCAATATTTCCTGGTAGGCTACCGTTTTCATGAGTGGCACCAATAATATTCCAAGTAAACCACAAGCTGATAGTAAGAATATGGAACCAGTGGCGTAAATCCAAGCTGAAAGAGAAGATTTGTTTATTAATTTTAATTTCATTGAAGGTATTTAATGAATTTAAAAATATATTTATGAGTGTATGAATTGTAGAAAAATGTAACTGTCGTATATAGAGATCGTTGATAGGGAACATCTAACCATATTTATGTAAAATTTTGTTTTTAGATTTTGGAGATTCATAAAATCCATATTGACCGTAACAAATCAAGTGAATAACAAAGTTTAATGTGCATAATTTATTATTCATAGGTGTTGGTAACCCAGAATGCAGATTGTAGAGATCGGAGGTAGCAAAAGAACAACGAGGTAACGTTAATTGTGTCAATAGATTTTTTTATAGTTTGATAATACAAATTTTTTTATAAGATCTACTTTTGGGATGTTCCCCAGGTTCATCTATTTGTAGATTTTCATAGGCTTATATCTCTTGACATAACTCTTGACATGGCTACTTATTTCTAAAGAAAGTGTTCGGTTGCCTTATTTTTCTTAAACCTCCTGCATCTCTGTTCAAAAGGGAATGCCAATTTTTTAGCATAGGTGTCTCCTGGTCAATAAGGAAACCGGTTCAAATATTTTTTAATTATTATATTAGGTGATCTAAAAAGTATTCGCTGTATTTTGCCATTAGATCTTACTCATATAACTGGCAACAGTGATCTATATATCAAATGAACATGTGTTTGAAAGGTAACATTTCAGGCTACATATTTATATAAAGGCAGTTCTGTGAAAAGATATATTGATTTGGAAAGTAGTGAAACATATCGGAAAATATATGCTGTTTAGGATGAACGCCGGACCCGGTTAGTACTTACAACCCGATTGTTTGAACAACAATCAATGAAAAAAGGGACTAGAATTAATTTACACAAAATAATTGTGTTTCATTATCACAATACCATTATAATGACAATGGGGAAGTTTAAATGCATCCACCATATAGCCTGGACCATGTAGGTATCGTCTGATTACCATTTGTTGCGGTCACTGCAAAACTCTCTTAATCGGAAATAATTAGTCGACCGGAGAGTCACTGAAAATCGTTCGACCAAGTTTTTCATTGACTATGCTCGCACTACGGGGCAGTATTTTTATTATTAAAAGAACAAAAAAAGAAAAAGAAATAATGGGGGTCGTTCACGTTTCCCAGTCTCTACCATATATGGTGCATATCCGTGAGAGATACCAGTCGCGTTTAATACGTATCGCATTTAGCAGTTTTTCGTTGTTAATAGTACTTTTTGTATGAATTCAGGTTCATGTCTGGAGTGAAATAAGTAACGTTCGGATTATATAGTAGTAGCGTACGGATTATATAGTAGAGGTGTCTACCATTCGGTTCATTTCTAGATTGAAATAAGTATCGCTCGGTTTATATAGAAGTACCGTGTACCTTCAGATTACATAGCAGAAACGTCTACCACTCAGATTACTCGAATAATCTAGTTTTCTTTTGGCGAGTACTTCATTATTTCTTTTTGGGTTAAACTATGTTTTGAATAAAATTCAATTCGTTTTAATACTTTTTATAAATGTTATTATGAAAGCTTAATTAAAACGTTTTTTTTTTGTTTGTTTTAATGAGTTTGTGTTGAAGGTAAAAACTATAAATATAAACTAATACTAGTACTTACCATTCCAAATCATGTCTGACGAGTCTTCAATGTGTGTTAATGGCGCCGGTCGTACGCATACGTGTTGATCGATTTGAGCCAATAAAGCTGGACATAATTTCATAAATGCCAATGGAGTCAGTTTCACCATATTGATGAACTCATTGTATTCATCTTCCAAACTGTGTTTATCCTGTGCGAACGATGACGAGGTAACGGTTTTGTAAAGTTTACGTTTGTGTATATCTTCGTGGTCAATGACCAAACGTAACAGCGATTTCGGTGAAAGGCATACATTTGATGACAATACTGGCCCATCAAAGGTGGCATCTGTTGCAAAATAAAATCAAATATAAATTTATTGAGAAATACGAATAATAATATGGAAAAAAAAAATATTTTAAAAAAATTTAAAAATAAAATTTCAAATATGCAATACTGATTTCGAGTTAAGAGGAAAGTATACAATACGTGTCTTGTTTCTGTTATTAGTTTGAGGCAATGCTTTCTGTTTGGTTATCTGTCAAGTATTTTATAAATTTTTTTAAACAAAAAATTGAAAATAAAACCACAAAATGTATTTTATTTTTACATTAATGTAATTATAACAAAATTATATTCAACGATTTTTATATGTAAACAATATCGGTTTGTCACGTGTCCCGTCAACGCCAGTATCTGTGGAAAACGTGCAGGAATTTCTGTTTGCTTTTGTTTTCATTTAAATGGAATTACTTCACAAACTATGGTCATAAAATTAAAAAGCTCCAATTGCAATATATATCTAATTGATTATATTTAATATTCATTAAATATATTTTTAGTAGTCAAATTGTATCACTTCTTGACTCTAACTGTTATAGTTCCAGAAGATGTGAGTGACATAGAGTATCTGTCAGTCCCTTAGACATTTTATTTGTGTTTGCATTCAATACACGTCTCCAGTACGTTTATTTATTTATCTTTATATGACTTATAATATATTTCAATAAATATAAAAATAAATTGAAATTACGTTTTTTTACGACATATAATCCCAACACGTGAGTTTAAAATACCGGAAAGCTATGAAAAATGGATTGGTAAAGTAAGAGAATAATTTTACGATTTTAACTTATAAACGATATTAACTTACAATAAAGTTGAAATGTTAGGCGATATTTAAAGCCGAAGTAAAGCAGTTTTTAATAATTATTAACAGAATAGACTATAACAGTTGGAACTGATCAAAGAATTGACGAAATAAAATGAAGTCTGGCGATATTTACGGTTCAACTAAAATATTATCACTATTATTTATTAACAAAATAGAAAATAAGAACTGAAAACTATTAGTTTGTTAGCAATAGAATTTGATAACATTATACTTTTAAGTACGCCCGTTTCTGCTATACCTGTACAGTAAGATTTGTGATAGGAGAATTGGTAATTAGAACTAAGCTGCGTCCAATAAATATCCTCAAGTATTTCTTAGAGCTTTGTTAGAACATCTTCTTCTTTTTGTTTTGTTCAATTTTAACCCAAATTCTGAGTGCCATAGTTCCAATACAGAAACACCGTGCTATCAAACCCTCCATGCCATAGTTCCAATACAGAAGCACTATCAGGGTAATTAATAAATTTTTTGAAGGTTTTATCCTATGATGGAACCACTAAGCATTTCTTAGAGACTTATCAGAACTTCTTCTTAGGCTAGACATTTTGTGCAATTTTAACCCAAACCCTGCGGCCTATGTCGATAAGTGGATATCTTCATTTTATCTTACCAGGTGGAGAAGAATAAACACTTGTAGAAAAGCTAAACTTAAGCTGCCAAAACCGATGGTCAATGAAGCGATAAAACTGCTTGACTTGACAACTAACCTTAAGCTAAATAAATAACTTACAGTAACAAGCTATGTAGTTATTCGAATGAAATCCACTTGGGCTTTAACTCAATAATGATATCTGAGAATCGAAGGACGAAAAAGAACCCAAGTCGATTGTGGTGAGCTTTCGTTAATTTTACACTTCAGTGGGGACGCTGTTCCAATGTCCCACGATATATACACATACCTATAACCCAGACTTTGCGTGCACTAGTTGCAGTACCCAAGTACAGTGCTATCATGGGAATTATTAAAACAGTATGTAATCACAAAAGTCCTCAATATCATTCGCCAAATCAGTTAACAGCTAAACTGAGCATTCAAACATTTTTTATTTAAAATACTATCGTAATATTCCGCAACTGCAAAATTTAAATCGAAAATATTATAAAAGTTGTCTGCAAAAGGAGTCAAACGTCTGTGGCTTAGTAGCTATGGGCTAAACACACCAGATCATTTAAGATAGTAGTTCTCCTATTTTCACATCTTTTCAAACCTCATTCGAACATATTATAAAAGCTAACAGTAAGAGAAGAAAAGATTCAGTCTGCGACTTAACAGTCATCGACTAGTCACAGCTTTTTTAAAATTGATAATTCTCTAATGCATTTGACATCCTCATCCTGTTAGCGTGGCTATATTCCACATCTTTGAAATCTCTCTCAATTGAAAATATTACAAAAGCTAACAGCAAGAGAAATCAAGCATTTGGCTTATCAGCCATACGGCTAACTATGTCTTTTATCTTTTAAATATTAGATATTATCATTCTGTGAGTGTCTAATAAAGATGGGTGATATAGATATAAAAGATATTAGTTAATAAAGATAGATAATAGATCATGAAGATAGATGATAAAGACAGATAATAGATACATATGAATAATAAAGAGATCTTTTAAAGATTATATTTATATATAAATTCAATACTGAGGACATGCAACTTTGCAAGATTAAAATATATATATGATTATAAGGTTTTCAGTTTGATAAAGATTTCACTGTATTATAATTTATATTTAAATTAATTTAAGTTGAAAAGGTCAAAGCACCTAAGCTGTTGGAAAATATAAGTTAAATAATGTTAAAAATCTAAGTTATTTGAAATAATAACAATAAATTAAATTTTAATATAACATTTGATATTTTGAAGAATTTAATAATTATATACATTTCTAATATTAAATTAAGTTATGTATTCTTAATGTGTGAAACTTGTGAATATAATGAATTAATTATATCATTAGAATTTTTCATCAGGCGATTGGCATTAGTGAAAGATTCACAGATATTAACTATGCGAAAATGTTAATAATGTTTAAAAATTATAATATGTTTAATAACAAAATCTTTAATACATAGATATAAAGATAAGAATTTTATAATTAAGAATTTAATAAGATTGACGAGGGTAGTTCCTATAGCACTGCAAATTTTCTTGCAATAATTTTCCAAGATATAAATATAGTAAAAAATTATATTGAAAATAATACTACAAGACGATACTTTTTTAGAATTTGATTTAACTATATATGTATATAATATTCACATTATACATTAATGAGAACTATTAATAAAACAAGTGTCTTCTACAGCTCAATTTACCCAGTACCCCATTCTTCCCTTTATATGCATCGAAATTACTATTACCATAAGCTAAATATATATTTTATATGTTCCAGAAAATCCAGAAATAGAACCCAGAAATAAGGTTTTCTTGGAAGAGTTATTATGTCCATATAAAAAAGGTGGTAACACAATTGGATTATGTTTTACGGGCTTAAAGCAAAATAACCTCACATTTGCACCACACTCTAGCCCCTAGCTAAAAAGTAAAAAACAAACAATGCCGTACAGTTGATGTATATTATCAGTTCCGAATGTATCGGTTTTTCGCTTTAATGTATCGTTCATAAGTTTATTAACACGTTTCTAGTCCACTGAAGGAGATCTTATGAAATATTATATATACACATAATTATATATTATATTATGTATATACACACATAATTATATATTATATTATATATATATACACATAATTATATATTATATTATGTATATATATGATATAAATATTATACATACATAATAGGTAATTCTTATTTTATAATTAGTTGCATTATTATATGCTTTAAAAGCTTAATTTTTGCTTAGCTATTCTATCGGTATGCCTGACTAATTAATGGATCATATAGAATTGGAATGGATATTTAATATCTTCTAAAAATATTGCTAAGTTCTTCTACTTTATTTGATACAATTCCTCATTTTGAAATAGTACTCTACTTCGGTGAAAAGAAATAATAAATTTATGTAGATTTTATAAAAGTCTATATTTTATATATTGATTTTATATAAATAGATATAGATATATATAATTTCAGAAGATATAAAATACGTCTTATAATTTTTTTAAGTTGAAATTTTTCATTTTTTCCCAACAAATTAGATTTTTTAGTACTTAAAGTTGATTAGGTGTGGATAGTGATACCAAAAAACCCACTTAGATCGAATAACCCATTGGAATACAAAAATTTCTTATTGTAAATATTCTAGAAAAATCAAATCGACAAATTTAAATCTTAAGTTCTTTCCCTGGAAAGTGACAAAAATCTATATTATTGTTTTGAATTCAATAATTTTTGACAGTTGTAGAGAGGGGTTTTGAAGATACTTCGCAGTTAGTAGAGAGTAAAAGTGCTCAAGTGCACTGGCTCAAATAACTTCAACATAATAATAAAAATGAAACGAATTATTTAATGTTATCTGTTGTATTCAATATACAAATTGTTCGGGTGTTTCCTCAATTGTAAGTATTTATTATTTATTTCGAACATGAAAATAATAATTACTGGTTGAAATTAAACACTTTAATTACTTAGAGAGAATTTTAAATTAAACGCAAATTTATTAGAAATTCTTAAACGTAACTACAGCTTAATTATAGAATCGAAAAAATGCCTTTAAATTCACCTGAGTTGATTAATAATAGCTGATATTGCTCAGAAAGCTTGCCATTTAAAAATTTCCCACAATAAACTTAATATTTGATATGTCGATCTCAGAATGATGGAACAATTAAAATTCTGATATTGACATTGATTGTTCAAAACTAAAGTAAAACTGTGTCAATTATAATTTCCAACAGACCTCAAGCAAATTGCAACTAATTATAATGTTAATTAACATCATTATTATTATATTGTAATTTGGTTTAAAAAAAAAAATTTCTGTCAGTTTAAAATTATTTATTTGTTAGATTTTTTATTGTTTAAGTTTTTTTTCAAATATTTTTCTTTCAGTTTTGTGTATCTCATTTTATAGAATTGCAGGCATACATTGGCGCACGCTTTTGATCAATTCCCAACATGTCGAGTCTGTCAGTCTGTCAATGGGTCCGTCATTATTTCAGTAATAAAAATGTACGCAAATACGCCATATTTGAATGCTCTGCCGGAAGTAGACATAAACTGTCATTTCAGTTGTGTCTTCAGTTGCAGTTGCTATGTCTCCATAAACAAAGGCACTGAGATACAAACTAATATACATTAGTATGAAGATAATTTATCTAAAGAAAACGAAAGTTGAAAATACCCATCACAAACCACATAAAGTGGTGATTTATATAAAAAATTTTAGCAATGTCAATTATTAACCTTAAAGTTGATTTAGTCTTCGAACAATTTAATTATAATTTAAATTTTTTTTAAAAATCGTAAATTTAAATATAAATAGTAATTAAGTACCGCACAAAGGCGCGGTCAGTTCCATTATTCTATTACTGTCCAATAGGAAGTTGAACAATAGCAAACTAAGATTGCCAAGGTTCTTGAGATGTAATTGTAGAGTTTCTTTGTAGTATTTTTACTTATCTTAATAATAACAATAGAATAGACAAGCAGTAAGATTTTTTAATGAGTATGGGAACTTTTTACAAAAACTGTTATGTCAACTTATGTATAAGTCGTATACACAAGTATATTGAAGTCAGAGCTTTTACTTAAGCTTGACTAATAATTACTATGTAAAAAAATATATTAATGTTATATATATACATATATATTAACATATACATATATAATTTAATTAACTGGAAGCAGATTGAAAGCATAAATCCGTCGTAGTTGTGGGGAGAACGTTGAAAATGTCTCTCATCTGATTTGCTTTTGCTTAGCTCATGCAACCAGGGACTCATTACATTAGGGGCCACTTCTTTGAGGATCTTGATCTACTACAAAACCTCCCACAAAATAGAATTTTAAGTTTCGCCAAAGGCTCCAGGTGATTTCAAGCCCTCAGTTTTTCCGTATTTGGAAGCACAATGGGCATAGACCTATTTGCCCATGGGGTCCCTTTGAATCGCCGGTATGACCTGACCTAAATAGAATAACTAAAACTAAAACTTTTTTGATAACAATTAATCAATAATAACTTAAACTTTTAAGATAACAATTGATCAACATTAACAATTGATCAAAAATAACTAAAACTTTTGATCAACAGCTTGCTACGATGAGGTTGTCACTACATTTTTACATATTCACTTTGGACTATTAGCCCTTATTATAAGACTCGAAGGGCTTATAGCCACTTTATACCATTTCAAGCAGTTCTAAAGTATATTCTTCGTTTCCTTACAGTTTCAACAAGAATTATTAAAAAGAATATTAAATTTTCTAGCATTTAACTAAGATCCTACTGAAAGAGGCAAGACAAAAGTAAGTCTCTTTCTTCGTCTTCCTGACAGTAATTCGGCTATATAGGACGTCAATAATAAGATTGAAGATAGATCTCAAAGGTAATTTAAAAGATAAGATGCAACATATCGTTGAAACTTTTCATCTCACCTTGTAGTTAATTATTTTGTATCTTTTATAGTATCTTTTTGATATTGTCCACAATTCGTTTATCGCTTTTCAATATATTAAATAACTAATTATGTCATATTACAACCATATAATGGTTAGAAAGATATATGATAGAAATCAAAATATTCCTTTATAAAGTCACCTAAATGACTTAATTTCTATTTGAATTGAACATTAATGGAACATATAAGATTAAATCACCTAAGCAATCGTAATCATTCTTGAATAAAAGTGATTCAGACATTAATTCCAGTCTTTTCAAACATCATAGGGAGTGAATAAAGACAACAAATTTTCCATATTATATTTATATCTCAGAAAAAGTTTGTTTTGCATTATATGATCTTTCATAAGGCACACAAAATTGGGGCAAGTAAACAGGGGGTATTCATGTAATATATCATATATTCATTTTATATTTGTCACGACAAATATGTATGGTATGTAATTTATTTTTATAAACAATATAGGTATACCATGATAAGCTAAGTAAATCTTCGATCACATAATCAAAGTCAAATGGTCTTTCAACTCTGTTGATTACTGATGAATTACTTTACAATAAAAATATACTATATCATGTAGCACAAGTGTTTTTCTTAGATCAACAAAACAAACCAAGTTGGTTGGTAAATATATAAATATATTAATAGTACATATAGTGCAAGTATCAATAACACTTGTTTGAAGAAAAAAAAACTATGAAAATGTAAAACTGTTCTTTGAGTAACAAATCAAAATATTTATAGCAAACTGCTTCGCGCTGATGAAAGCCACATTTGTTTATTGAATATACCTAAATAAAGAGATATATATCACAGAGGCAGTAGCAATAGTTGAGCAGATTGAATTTTGTGGAACTGCGAATGATGTTGTATTTACAATTTGCGGTTGTTAAAAGATTGTATATCTTGCATGAATGTTCCCTGAGTGGATTCTAACTTTATTTCCACCAAGCGAACTTTTCACACACCAACAGCATACTTAAGTTCTTCGCTCCCGAGGAATTTTGCTTGGATGTTCGCTGAGTGGACTCTAGTTTAATTTCCACCAAGTGAAGTTTTCACACATCCACAACACACTCAATTGTTTTACTCCCGAGCACTCCTGCTGGAAAGTTTGCTGATTGGGTTCTAGTTTAATTTCCATTTTTCACACATGAACAGCATACTTCCGTATTTCACTCCCGCGCAATCCTGCTTGGATGTTCGCTGAGTGGGTTCTGGTTTAATTTCCACCAAGCGAAGTTTTCACACATCAATACCTTACTTAAGTGTTTCATTCCTGAGCAATCCTGCTTAGATGTTAGCTGAGTGGATTCTAGTTTTATTTCCAGCAAGCAAATTTTTTACACATCCACAACACACTTAAATGTTTCGCTCCCGAGCAATCCTGCTTGGATGTTCGCTGAGTGGGTTCTGGTTTAATTTCCACCAAGCGAAGTTTTCACACATCAATACCTTACTTAAGTGTTTCATTCCTGAGCAATCCTGCTTAGATGTGAGCTGAGTGGATTCTAGTTTGATTTCCACCAAGTGAAACAGATCAACAGCATACTTAAGCGTTTCACTTCCATGCAAAATTCTGCTTAGTGGATACCAAAGTTATATTAAAACAGCACGCAGTACATTTTTTGAGTTATTAGTATGAAGTTTATTTTGCTTGGTCACCGTGATCCATCAAAGCGTTAATTTTCTTTAATTAATTAATATCCTAAATTTTGAAAATCATTATTGACTTAATTTTTTATCTTTCGCTACTGTTTTTTCCTATTAAAATTGCGTATATTTGTTCAATAAATTCGGAAAAAGAAAACAAAACTTAATTAAATCAGTAGTTCATACTGATAGGTTCAATTTTACTTGTCATTGTTGATAATTAACACTTTTTATTATTAAAATCATATATATTATATGTTTTATGTGGGATATAAATTTTATAGTTAAGTGTGCAAAAAATTTGCACATCTCACGCACGATTCGCTACTTAAGCTCTGATATTAAATTATTTCCTCATTAAAAAGTATATGCTAATACCTTCTATTAAATTTTATTATATCTAATTAAGCATTTAGATAAAGACACAGTAAGGGAAACAATATTTCTAGTAAACAAGGATCTGATAAGATAGCAATTTACATTGTTATTTATTCAATTTTGTGTAATATTACTCACCATTTTCACGTGGGTGTCGATGTTTTGGATCATGCATTTCTTTAAATTCAAGTAATATGCCCTTTTCGCGGGCAATACGTTCTTTAACATCTGTATCTTCTTTGTTCGAGTTGTCAGTATCTGCAGACATTGAAGAGGTTTTACTTTTACTTGTGGATTCTGTCAATTGTATGTCATCTACATCATTGGGTAGAAGTTTCATGTTTTGTTCGATATAATTCTTCAGTTCAAGATCATTTTCTGGTTTTTGTTGAAAACTTGGAGAGTGATGCTCGTCTATTGTATGTGTAGGATCAAATTCAAGTTGTCCCAAGCCTAAATTATACATTAAATGCTCAAGGCCCTGTAATTAAAAAGAAATATGCTTAATGTATTTAAAGGAAATTATTTTTTAAAATAATAATTTAAATAAAAATAATTATATTAAAAACAATTTATATGTATAATTAAAAAATTGTAAAATTAATTAATACCAAATATTATAAAAATTATTTGTGACCCCCTATTTTTTCAATCTATATCAGATAGATTTATACATAGATAGATAATAATAGATCGGAGTGCTGCTAATGTATTTTTACATTAATTTCCTTTGCTTTTTTAAATTTATTTTTTTTTTATATAAAACATTTTTAAAAACAACTTCTTATCAATTTAATTATTTAAAAAATAAATATTTAATATGCAAAATAACATTATATATTGATTATATGCTCTCTCACGTTTTGTTTATTTTATTATTTATAATATATATCGTATATATTAAGTATTTTTCTTATTGCTATATCGTTATAAGTTAATTAACAAAAAGGAAAATTATTTTTAGATTTATTTAAGTTCAAAATAATAAACATTTTTTTTATTTTAATATAAAATTGTTCTTTGAAACCTCTTTATAAAGTTGTTCTGAAAACCTTCCTTGATCTATTTTTGTTTAATAGGAAATAAAAAAAAATTACTACAATGTTATTTTTCTTGTACTAAATTTAAAACATTTATTAAAAGAATCCTGTTTAATAATTAATATTAATTACACATATTGCGTTTTAATTTATATTGACGTCAATGGATTTTCATGTTTGACTTATCATCACATAATAAACGTGACATCCATCACATGAATATGATTTTGGGGTACCAGGTGAAAAAAATAAATAATTTCAATAAAAGAAGTTTTTAAAATTTTAGGTCTTACAGATCAAACTTAACCTCTACAAAAATAATTTATTTAAGGATAATATATAAAAAAGTGTATCCTATGATTTTATGCATTTTATTTTGAAGGTTGATTGGTTGTGGAACATAATACATGTTTATATAAACAATAATAACATAATTACATACGATTATATTAATATTGAATTAGATATAAGAACTTACTTCATTTATATTACTTTACTTTATTTATATATAAGAACGTACTCTGTTTTATATTTAATTATTATTATATTATTATTAATTATAATATTATAATAATATTTTATAATAAACTTTAATTAATTATTTTAATTATTAATTATCATAATAATTTATAATTATTAATTAATTATTATTATTTATTAAATAATTATTAATTATTCTTATTCTTCTTTATTTGTTAACTTGTTCATATAACTTATTCTATTCTTTTCTTTACAAGCTCTCTTCCTGTCAACCACATCCATATTTTGCTCTCAGTTTCTAGTCATACCTGTAAATTTCCCAATATTTTGTGTGTTTGTCCATTATCGGTTGTCTTATAGCTATAAAATTTATTTCAGGTTTATTCCTCGGTTTCTTGCGATATTTCCTTGAATAAGCAAATGCTGCCTTAAGTTTTTACGATTTTGCATAATATGATCTATATACAATGTCGTCCATTTTATTTACTAATGTCAACAGTTCTTAATAGCAGTTCATTCCTCGTTAAACTGCATTGTTTGTCATATAGTTTGTCTATAGTATCTTGAATTTCTTCGTAAGGTCTACAATTTTAACAATAATGTCTCAGTGACATCTGTTATTTTCAAGTTCTTAGTTTGTATGTCATAGATTAGTAAAGACCGCACATAGAGCTCTACAGTACTGATTTTGGTTTTAAAAGTAAGATCGTGACTATTTAATATTTTTTTATACTTAAGCAGAGCATTATGCGTTATTTCTGTTCAACATTTTTTCTTTTTAGAACACCCAATTTAGTTTGACACAATCGATGTTGGTGATCGAATTTTTAAAAGATCTGCTGAAGTTTATATTGAATAACAGGGATAACAAAATGCATATTTGTCTCACTTCATGTGAGATGGATATTTCTTTGATCACATGACAATGATATTTATAAACATTGAAAGATGAGTATTTCATTGGTAATATAAAATTTCTAATACAATCAATTTCATTGTCACTCATACCTATAGGTTGAACAATGTCTATTAAATTATTTTGTTCGCCTTTATTAATAAGAATTTATTATTATTTATTATATATAATTAATTATTCATATAATCCCAAATTTTACTTAATCCAAGATTTTTATTTTAATGACGAGGGTTTAACAGGTTAACACATTAGGTGGGGTCAACTTGTTACGCTGATGAAGTTTATATAAGTACCTGTACTTTAAATTATTATCATTGTCTTTATTACAGCGATATAGACATATTGTCACACTAAATATTTCATATATTAGCTATGTGTGAAGGGTATGGAAAACGCAATAATTGCTACTCGTTGCTAATTGACATTATGGGTTACAGGTATACGTACTTAAACTTACGTGTAAATTGCATAGAATATATCTCAAATACAAATTTTTTTCAACTTTTATAATTTTAACATTCGATTAGCATTAATATACCATATTATTTATTGATTCATTGCATAAAGTTCACCTTGATCTAAAGAGCAAAGTATGAAGAATAGATCAAAGCATTGTAAGTATGATAGCATAGTATAACATTTACTTAAGAAGTAATAATTTACGAAAATCAAATAAAATTTATTTTAATTTATTAGTTGGTATATTATATTTCGAGAGATGATGTAAAATTAACTTAATTTAAACATTTAGTAAGCTTTGTAAAAAAAAATATTGAAGTATCTTTGAAGTTGCCGAAATTATATATGAAGTTTAAACTCGTTCTGATGCTGATTGCAACTGCTGACATGGATACTACTTTTATGAATTAATAATTTATATATATAATTTATATATATAATTTATATATATAATTTATATATATATTTATCTGTTCCTCTACATATTTATTTCTTAATTTATAAAAATATTATCGGTTTCAATTTTCTGATTTGTTAGCACTAAAATATGGATATATTAATGACAACTTTATTAAATTTAAAAAAATATACTTATTTGCCATCATAGTACAGTGAAAATACATACTCAAATATATTTTTCATAAATTTTTGAGTTAACTCCTTTTACAATTCAAAAATTTCAATGATTTGTATATAGTAATCAGTTTAATGCTTGCTTAATGCATTAAAATATGTTATAACTGCACTTTTGAAATTATATTACCTATATAGTACACAATTTTTTAATAAAAGCTGTAATCTACGTTTCCTTTAAGAGGATCATAATAATTAATCTAACAAGTTGCATTGTTTGGTGCATATCAGATTCATACATGTCAACTGGGATGATAGAGTTTATCACAATTTTGTCTTTATAAGGAGGGCAGTTATGAGATCATCAAAATGAGTCATATAATATAGGTATATTTTCAAGTGTTGATAGTTGTATCAAATTCTTTAAAGTTGTTGTCTCTATAATTTTCTTGAGCTATTTTTGGACTCATCTTAAATAAATGATATATATGATATGATATATATTTATTAAGAACTTATAGCTTCTCATAAATAACAATGATTTCGGTTAAAATTAGTTTTATATATAATATATATAATATTGTTATTTAGTTTACTTAATATGTTTAGTAATAGTTTTATATAAATATTTAAGTTTATTTATTAAAAACTTATGACATTTTTCTTAAAAAACAAGAATTTCAATTATTATTACTTTTATATATAATAATAAATACTATTACTCTAGAATAGTGGTTTCCAGCATGGGAGTACGGGCCACATGAGGGTGATTTAATTATATATGGAAAAAATTAACCAAGTTAGTTTTATTAAAATCTGTTTAATAAATAAAACATATATAAAGTAATATTACTATAGATGCAGATTATATATACTTGAGGTTATTTTCGAAAAATTTTGATTTTAGCTATGATTAGTTACAACATTAGTTCTTCACTGTATCTGTACTAAAATCAAAGGTTTGGTTTAGCTTTGTGACTTTCTTCCTAATTGAAAAAAAAATAAAAATACAGATTTTGTTGAGATATTAACTGTTATTTTGCTATTAGGTAATAAAGGGCTTTGGAGACTTAAGAGCTAAAAACTCTATTAAATAAAGCACACCACGAAAAGCGTTGAGGAGCACAACTCTATATGAATTATATTGCTAAATATTTGGTAAATATTTAAAAAATTTTTTTGCAATTATTACTTAAATTGTTATTTCTAAAAACAAATAAATTGAATAAATAAATATAAATAAATAAATTTTATTTAAGCAGAATATGACAGAAGTCTCAAACAATTACTAAAATATAACAGAAAATTAAATTTCTCTGGCATATAATTAAGTATAATTTCCATGTAATTTAGTTAAATAAAAATATGTGTTTAAAAATATGTGTTATTAAATGTCCGGAAACTGATGTGACAAAATAAAAATTGTAAATAAAAACAACTGCACTCAGACTTCAAAACATTTACATTGTGTTTTGCAATAAAAATATCAATGGAAAGTAACTCAGTTTCCAGGTGGAATCGCTTATTTTTGTTTGAAATTATAATTGAGAATCTCGACTGAAAACAATGATTATTAGTAAATATTTTTTTGACACATTTTGTGTGGCAACAAATAAATTTTTCTAACTAATTAAATATATTAAAATATATTAAGCATTTAACAATAACAAATAATATCTAACGTCAAAGCTATTAAATGGTCTGAGTTTAGATATTTCGTAATTTGCGATCTTATTTTTCTATTTTGGTCTAACTTTGCACGGTCACTGTTTAAGTATTAATAATAAATAATAATTAATAATATTATTTAATATTTAAAATATTTGTTTTTCAAACATTTATAATTAAATTTTTATTTTTAATAAAAATTATTTCTATTCTTTTCAGTATGCGATCCACCGAAAACGTTTTGCACATGTTGGCCACGTTTCTATAACCATTTTTAGAATTTAATTCTATATTTAACGAGAATGATATATAAATTAGAAAATTTTAAAATTAAAATTAAAGTAA